TAGGTACGACGCTAAATATATACAAGAGATCTCAACCACATCGCAGTCTTCAGAAGTACATTTCGCTTAGAAAACAAGTAAAGCTTAGCAAACTTGGAAATCCCAACTAAGACTCAACTTCAAACAAGATTCAAAACAAACGTGAAATTTGTCAAAAATAAAAAATATAAAGGATGTTTCATCCTTAATGTAAACACTGAAGAGTTAATTAGACTGTATGAAGCAGCAAGGATGAAAGAAAAAGAATTCAGGTCTGTCACTGAAGAAGGAATGTAAACCTTTGAAGGAATGTTTCTTTGAATCTATTAAAATCCCCATATATAATCTATGAAACTGCTGCAACAGTCTTAGAAAACAGCCAGCTTTCCCTTTTGAGTTCCATTTTCTTGAAACTCTGTTTGCAAGGTAAAATGGGAATGTTTGCAACTGTTCTCAGATGCGTGCACGCACTGTGGACCTCCCAGTTTAGAAATCTTATGCACACACTGTAATTGGAAAAAAATGAGATTTTTTTGCTAAACTCTGATCCTGCAAGCATTCACTTGCTTAATGTTAAGCACCTATTTACCATGAACTGTTCAAGCACTGAAGTGCCAGCAACTTCACAGACTTCTTGTTGCAATATTTTCAAAGAAACACTTGTCTCATCTCTAAATACATTCGTATGTTCAGGTCTTCATGGTTTCCCAGTGAAGTGAATTAATGACTTCACCACATGTGCTAGACAGAACCACAGAAACAAGTGAAGTGGAGGGTGTAAACATAGCAGGAACCAGAAGCATGATAACTGTGTCTTGCAAGAGTTCACTGTTTGCTCAGGCAAATTATGGAAAGGCTGTACTGTATAGAATCTTCTAACTTGTACATGATTATATATCATATTTACATATATTACTACATATATGGAAAATTCTGGGAAAAAAAATCAAATTATCATAAACCTGATGTCTATAGTTAAACAACATACTCACAAGTCATTAATTATCTTGTTGCATCAGTCAGGTAGCAGAGTTAAGTACTAACCTGGAATTTCTCTTGTGCAATCTGCTATTCCAGAGCCTTGGATTAAATCGTGTAACAAGAAATGCAGTAAAATCAAGTCATCATATATTAATCTCAACACTTAAAACATATTCACTTACGACAACAGTTAATGCACCACTTCATTATCTGCTTCCTACTGAAATACTAAGCTTATTTTCTAACTCTGACCAGCCTGTGTTTATCCATGATTTCTGAAAGACAAAAATTGGACCTCTGGCAAGAGTGCTCAATGGCTCTTGGAGGTGTTTGCACCAAGTGTGCATACACACACACATCCACTTCCATGAATACCCGTAGAAATGTCTAGGATCATTACTGGACTGCAAAACAATGGTTACATTGCACAGCTCACCTCACAGTAACTGAAAAACAAGTGACTGTGAACAACACATTGGCAAAGCAGAAGTGGTGTGCGGCTGTGTGTTGCCTGAGCTTGTTTTCATCTCACTGAGCCTTTCTACTACAGTAAAACAGCATAAACTGTTTCTTTGAAAGAAATCAACATATTCTCCTGGACTAAATGCACAGTTCAGCTTCAGTATAAACACCAGTATACAGTTCTGAAACAAAGTAACTACAGAGAATGGAGAATTCTCTCACTAGGAAGAAAAGCCATTGCTTCTTTTTTTGTTTTTCCCCCTCTTAAGAAAATCAAAGAACCCAACCCAGTCCCCTTTTCCCCTTTTGTCCCTAGCATGCAACTTACAGGCCAATCAAATAGTAGATTACATACATCCCTACAGTTTATCATCTTCATACAAGTGCATATAGTATACACATATCTCCTTTAAGTGCCATACATATGGAAAAAAAATCACAAATTATATAACAAAATAAATAAGTTTATTCCCACCTCATCCTTTTCACTATATCATGAACTAAAGAGAAAGTCAATAAAATTAGATAGGTCTTTGGACAAAAATATATGTTAAAACTGGCTCAGAAAACAAATTACTTAGAATAGTCTGCAGATCTCTTATATTCAAACTTCATAAATAGCAAGCACAATTTTAAAAATGTCTATATACATTGGCACACATGATTATGTGCACCAAATTCAGAATTAAGAGCCTAGAAAAAGTGTAGCTATCCCCTCATAATTTCTTTTGTAGGTATTTAAAGATCCTCCTCCCCACTAAAGTAGGGAGGAGACTACAAAAGACATATTGCATTTTAAAGCACAAGAAAACTAAAGAGTTAGAGACCTGGGAGCAGAGAGCAGGTGGAAGCTTTAGAAAAACGCCTCCCAAATTTTTTAGTGTATGTAATGCAAGTGTAGCATATTTCAGCAACTCGAGTACCTTTTAGGGTCCTACTATCATGAAGAACTGATGACAGACGGGAATTAAAAGGTATGTATTTAGACAGTTCATTTGACAACAGCAGCATTTACTGAGTCTTCATAAAGAGGCAATTCTTCCTGAGGGCAGAACTATGCTTTTGGTATTCCACTTTCCC